CTAATTCGGCAAGCAGGTGTTAGCGATTGCTACTGTGGGGCAACTGTCCTTTGCACAGGACTTATGAAAAATTAGCTTAAGAAGGACCCTGTTATAGCAAGAAAAAGATTCTAGAATCTGTGGAACAAATAATGTCCGTTAGCAGATTAGTCATGTGGACCCAAAACATCTTAGTGTTGTTCTGTGGAAAGATTTCTCTCTGACTTGACACGCTTTAACTGGTCATTCCTAGACCTGCAAAATCACTGCTGCTTCAGAGCAAATTGATTCTACCTACAAGAGAACTCTTTGTGAGCAACTTTACTGGACAATTAGCTAGATGAGCAATATATATAAAACAGATGGAGCAGCCACTGGGTGGCAGCAGAAATGTAATAAACACCCTGTATCAATGTGCTATCTTATTGTTTAATCCTATCACTTATCATTTAGCATGCTGTAAGACAGTATTATTTTATATGATAGATAATATTCAACTAATTAATTTCTCTAATATAAACTAGCATATTCAACTATGAGAAAAATAAACATTTAAAACTAACTTAACTACCTAATATTCTATGAATATAATTTTTAATATTACCTAGAATGGCTTTGTGAAGTTGCATAGTTGCTTTTCCAATACTTAAAAGTTGCTATTACTTTTAATAGCCATAGAAATCTGATAACAGAAGTCACACATATTCAGAGAAGAAATGTTGAAGAATTCAGAAAAGATAAATAAAATTACTCACAATCTTCACACCTAGAATTAAACATTAACAGTCACTTGCAATTATATATATTCTCTTTTTTGATGTAGAGTTGTTTTCTCAGCAATAACAATTGGCTGGGTGGCATGGCTTATGCCTGCAATCCCACACTTTTGGGAGGCTGAGGCGGGAGGATCACCTGGGGTCAGGAATTTGAGACCAGCCCGGCCAACATGGTGAAACCCTGACTCTACTAAAAATACAAAAATTAGCCAGGCATGGTGGTGGGTGCCTGTAATCCCAGTTACTTGGGAGGCTGAAGCATGAGAATTGCTTGATGGGAGATGGAGGCCAAGATCTCACCACTGCACTCTATCCTGGGTGACAGAGGGAGAGTTTGTCTCAAAAAAGAGAATAAATAAATAAACAGGTCATTTTTACATAACATTTTAAGTGCTATTTTTCACTCAACATAGTACAAATTACATATCATATCATTGGTTATTTTTCTCAATATTATATATGGTGATTGCATATTATTCCCACATGGCTAGACCAATTTATATAATCGGTTCTCTTTTGTTAAATATTTGCCAATTTTTCTAATATTTACTCTTACAGATAACTGTTGTGAAATTTGAAGGCTAGGTAGCCAATGATTTTCAGCCTTCCAATATTAAGTGGTAAATTAATAGTTTATATAGAGAAAGATTCTGGTACAATGTGTTTGTTGCTTTCTGATTAGAACTTTCTGATTAGAATCACTTAGAGTGATCCAACATAAAAACCTCAAGGGTGAGGGCCAGAATTCAGCATCCATTTCAATGCACTTTGAAGTTTCAGAACCATTAGCAATCTGAATAAAATTATATAGGCTGAGGACCTCAACAATAACATTACTAGAAAATGCACAAACTGGGAAGAACATTTAGCTTTCATTTGTCTCAATTTCTTCCTTTATTAAGTGGAAATGATGATATATCCTAACGTTAGGGTAATACTAAGGGAACAATGGTGTTTATCAAGAGTTCATTTCCAATTTCAAAATGCAGGCTTTGAAGACTCTGTTAGGAAGAATATGACTCTTTGAATACTAGAGATCATATATTGTGATCATAACAAACAACAAACATTATGCTAAGCAGTATATATGTATTCTACCCTCACAACAATCTTGCAGGTTACCGTAATTCCATCTTATAGGTAAGCTTGGACGGTCAGATGGGTTAAGTAACCCAGATTACATTGTTTGTAAATATCAAAATCTGAATTCAAACAAGACTTTCTGGTCCTATGGTCTGTGTTCTTTCAACTCTAGTATTCTGTCAGGCTATATACAGAAAGGTAGAGGTATAGCCAGCCAGACGAAGTTTCTTCCTGGTTCAGTACACAGTTATTGTATGCTTACTGGTTTCTCTCTTCCCCATGGTACTTAAATATGGCAAGTGAGTATTCAGAGCAGATGCTTTTAGAGTTTATTGAAAGGTAAACCTTGAATTTATGTTTTTTGGATTTTTTAAGCCTTTGCATTTTTAATTGTCAAGTACAGGTCAAGTGGTGTATACAGTGTTCAGAAGTTTTGAAAAAAAGTAACAAAATACTCCACTAAACAAAAACATATCTCTACTGACAGTTTTCTTAAAATTTACAGCTAGCCAGGTGCAGTGGCTCATGCCTATAATCACAGCAACTCTGGAGGTTGTGGTGAGAGGATCAATTGTGCCCTGGAGTTTGAGGTTGCAGTGAGCCATGATACACTACTGCATTCCGGCCTGAGTGACAGAATGGGGAAACAACAGGTGCTGGAGAGGATGTGGAGAAATAGGAACACTTTTACACTGTTGGTGGGATTGTAAACTAGTTCAACCATTATGGAAAACAGTATGGCGATTCCTCAAGGATCTAGAACTACATGTACCATATGACCCAGCCATCCCATTACTGGGTATATACCCAAAGGATTATAAATCATGCTGCTATAAAGACACATGCACACGTATGTTTATTGCGGCACTATTCACAATAGCAAATACTTGGAATCAACCCAAATGTCCATCAGTGACAGACTGGATTAAGAAATTGTGGCACATATACACCATGGAATACTATGCAGCCATAAAAAAGGATGAGTTTGTGTCCTTTGTAGGGACATGGATGCAGCTGGAAACCATCATTCTTAGCAAACTATCACAAGAACAGAAAACCAAACACCGCATGTTCTCACTCATAGGTGGGAACTGAACAATGAGATCACTTGGACTCGGGAAGGGGAACATCACACACCGGGGCCTATCATGGGGAGGGGGGAGAGGGGAGGGATTGCATTGGGAGTTATACCTGATGTAAATGACGAGTTGATGGGTGCTGACGAGTTGATGGGTGCAGCACAGCAACATGGCACAAGTATACTTATGTAACAAACCTGCACGTTATGCACATGTACCCTAGAACTTAAAGTATAATAATAAAAAAGAAAAAAGAAAAAAAAAAAGTACAGCTATTCACAACAAAGAAGACTGGAGCAGTCCACGCACACTGAAATTTACCTAAAACTGCATAGTTTAAAAGGGCAGCACCTTTGGAGAAAGTGGGTTCTTTCAGCTGACTTAATAACTTTGACTCTTACTTTCCTTATCTGAAAATGAGAAAACCACCTTCTTAGTTCTCATAGGTGGCTTTAGATCTAGCAAAGCCTGAGATAAAGTGATTAATACATAAGACCCTTTATTATCTTGCTTGGTGAATAAATAATCCTACTTTTTCTTAGAAGTCTAAGGACATGGGCAAAGGAAAAATAAATAATTTAAATCATTTACTGAAAAAGTTACACTTTTTGTCAAGTTGGGTCTTCAAAAATAGCTGATCTCATCACTCATGCAAGAACCTTGATAAACAGAAACCCTTACAAGTTCATTATCTTACCTTGTATAGGAGCCTCCTCTTCTTAATAGGAGATTCTGAGAATGAGAGATAATTTTATTTTAATTACCTACCATCGTACACTGAGATCCAGAGCCTTACATTTGTTTCTGCCTCTGCATAGGAGGCCTCTCCGCTTGTTGTCCACTTGACGTGGTCCCACACTTTCACATCTTCCATTCTCTATGCAAATATTCTTTCCCTCTCGGTTGTTTTGGGCTGCACAACAGAATACCATGGACTGGTGGCTTCAACAATAGAAACTTATTTTCTTATAGTTCTGGACGCTGGAAGTCCAAAATCAAAGTGACAGCAGGGTTGGTTTCTGGAGAGGTCTCTCTTCCTGGCTTGCAGATGGCAGCCTTCTTGCTGTGTCCTCACATGGTCTTTCCTCTGTGTTCACATGGACAGACAGAGATCTGGTGTCTCGCTCTTCTTATAAGGACATCAATTTTCTTGGATTACAGTCCCACCCTTATGACCTTATTTAAGTTTAATTACCTCATTATAGGTCTTATTTCCACATACAGTTACATTGGGTTTAGAGGTTCAACTTACGAATTTGGTAGGGGGGCCACATTTCAGTTCATAGCACCTTTTCAGCTAGGCCTTCTCTGGGAACCCTTTATACATTACAACCTCCATGCTCTGATATTTTTTATATACTTACGATGCTTTGTTTTCCTTCATAGCACTTACCACTTTCAAATATACTATATGTGTTTTGTATTTATCTCTTTGTTACCTGTCTCCATCCACTGGAACAAAAGCTCAAGAATGTTGACAATTTGTTCATTGTGGTACCCATAGCATCTCTGCCATGCCCTGGCAAAGAGAAATCTATGACACAAATATTTATTTTGTGTATTAATGAATTATCCCCATGTTATGCACGATGGAAGCAACTACAGATACCAAAGTAGAAGAGATATTACACCTTCTCTTCAGTAAATTTTAGTCCAGAGATATATAAGGCTCACCATAAATGAACTATAGCTCCCTGTAACCATAAGATATCACTCAGGGAATGACCAAAAAGGAATATAGGGATCTGTGTTGTGCACAGTCCAGAAAGACATTTGCTTTCCACACAGAAACTAACTTCATCAGATTTGCATAAATCTATTTGCTAAACTATGAGTCAGGAAATCAGATTTTTCCATTATTAAAGTTATCATTAATTTTTGGTAATATATTAGCCTACTATGAAACATAAAAACAGGTCAAATCTGTGTGTGGAAGGATGTTTTAAAATTCACCTTCACAGTCATAAACAGAAATGTCCCATGACCATATTTTAATAAACAACCACGTGTAAGAATAACTGAATACAGAGTCCAGTTTTTTCTTTCTGATAAATTACTTTGATAGTCTTTAAAAAAAAAAAAAAAAAAAAAGAAGGAAATTACTTTTAGGTCTTGACGAAAGGGTGTTCCAACCGAAGAGTTCCCAAATCTTAGTAACCTGGAAAGGTGGTTTTATTTTTTTTCAGCATCACTTCATTAATCTGAATGTAAAACTATAGAAAAAATAATGTCTAATTTAGCTAGAAAATAACACTCATTTGCGTGCTAAGGTCTAGCAACAAAAGAATGTTAATGCACATTACTACCTATTACTACAACAGTGAACACAAAATGAAATGAACAGATGCTGATTTACCTTCTCTGGTGAATCATGCATGGCACGAAACTGCAATCCTAAAGCAAGCTAGACCATCTGTGCTGTTTTCTCCAGATGAGCCAAATTTGATGACAAACCATTCTCCATATATGGGAGTTTTTCTTTCTTTCTTTCTTTCTCCCCATTTTATATTAGAAAGCATAGTTTCTCCAATAGAAGATGCAGAAAACTATTTTGCATCTTCTACTATATTGCTAAATATTTTGACTCTGAGCCTGGATAAAGCAGTCTGGAAATTAAATATAACTTCAAAAGAGACATCTTTTCAGAACTTGCATTCCTCAATTATTCTCTCCATCCATACGCAAGCTGTTCTGGGAAATAGGATGACCCAGAAAGGTATGTTTGAATAGCATTTCTGATAAATTTCTTCCGCCTTATGATAATGTTTTATGGTACAAATTTTCTTGAAAAATCAAGTCACCAGGAAAACGCTGTATTCCGTGTAATTCAGGGCCTAGCATAGAGATGGTGATAGAAAAAATTTTGCTTATTGAATGTTGGATGAATTTTGGCACCGAAAGTGCCTTCATCTTTAGAATCCCTTGACAACTATTAAAGGTCAAGGAGTGAGGTCTTTTTAAATTCAGTGAGATGACACGTTTTACTTAAGTAGAAAAGGAAGTTAAAATCTCTTTTTGAAAATAGGAAAATGCAATATCTCACTAAATATAAAGTTATAAATTTCTTAGTTTCACATTATCTTCAAATAAATACTTATTAAGATACTTAAAACATTAGGTTGCCAGATGGCTTTAAGATAAATATTTGCAAGCAAGAGGTGATAAAAGATGGGTTTGGCCTGTGGGCAAGATGATGAGTCAGACACGAAGCAGGAATGTGAATCACCCAACGTCACGCTCTCACAGCTGAGGCAGGATGACAACGCAGCATGGACCACTTGGTGCTACAGACTAGGCTTCTCTGTGGAGTGACAGTCATCGCTTGTGTCCTCAGTCACCAGCGTGGAATTAAGAGAGTGGTAGGATTCACTTAACCAGGCAAGCGTGTCTTGGAAAAATACTGACACAGGTGAAGCTAATCTCTGGCACTATATATATCTTGGTGTTATCAGCTGGATGACTCTTGTATGCTTTCATTTTCTCCAATGATGAAAATATTTTCCTTCTGTGATCACCAGCAGAGTGGGGAGCTTTTATTTCTCAAAAGTACTGGATGACACATTTATAAGTTCCTTGACTTCAATCCAAACTTGCAGCTTGCATGTGTAACTCTTTGTTTTCTTATTTGAATCCTATTAAGTAACAGGAATAGTCAGAAGCAATTTCTTCTCCTTTAAAAAATTAATTGCTCACTTTGCAATTTATATCAAGATACTCCATTTTTTTGCCATTGGTTTCTGTAGTAGTCTCTGTAACACTAGTTGACTTTTACATACGGGAATATGTCTTATATTTTTAAAAAAGTATTAAAGAGTCAACGACCACCAAGGACATCAGGCACCATAAATATTGTTTCAATATGTTAACTTCTAAAATGTCAATTATTAACATTACCAACATCTGAACAAATTCCTAGATTCATGAAAGAAGGCTTTAGGGACAGAGCTCTGAACTATGTAAAGGATCAAGTAGTAAATATAGAAAGCCATGCTTGCTCATGTCTGCCTGCCAGCATAATTTCACAAAGCCCCTGACTCTGTGACAAGATGCAGTTCTCTGGAAGAATGCTTTGAAGACAAAACTGGATAGAGCACACGGTTCCCACATCTCTTGAATGAGTCACTATATTCCTTAAAGGATAAATGACCCTAGGCCTTGCCTATTCCTACAATAAGATAATGCCTGCAGGGTCAGTGATTATGCCTCTACAATCTATAACCAGATGTACTCTTGCACCCAGAATTTGATATGATTTTGCACATACTGAACCTTCACTGCCTGTATAAAAGCGATGAGCCAAAACAGTTTTGGAATAGTCTTATGGCACCTCTCTGAAAGATCTCTCCAAGGCTATAGTCCTGAGTCTATAGTCCCCAGTAAGACTTCTGAAGAAAACTAACTTTTAATTCTTTACAAGCTTGATTTTTTTTTCTCTAGTGGACAGTCAAAAAACTTAAAAAGATCATTATCAGAAAAAAACAGTCTCTTTATTGATGAACCCTGTTCCAGGAAAGCAATTGGTATACTGATGGGGAAAAACTTGCTCTCCTGCCCCGTGGTACTGCCCTTAAACCATGGCAGATGAGAGGAATATGTGTCCTTCTAGAGGTCTCATTCTCAGCCACCGGCAACCCTACATAGTTTCACCCACTTGGTTGCTTCCTTCCTCATTGAACCTTGCACATATCTTGGTTATATTTTTGTCAGACTAAATTATTTTATTGTCTTTCCCACTAACCTATATATTTTTTCAAGGTCTGAGACCCTCTGATTTTTCTAGGAATCCTCAGGAGTTAGCAAAATCTGTGTAGCAGTCATTGCATCTTCTAGCAAATAAGAGGATGAGCTTTTGTTTCTGATAAATCTTTATATCCCAAATCTTAGCTGAGTGTCCTTAACTTTAAGCTCTCTAAGCCTCAGATTCCTTATTTATTATAGATACAAAAATGGTGCTTTCTTTATACGTTTTTAAAAAATAAATGTGATAATACCTGTAAAATGCTTTGTGGCACTTGTTACACTGCGTTTCACTAATATTATCAATTATTATTTTAAAATTAATACATTTAATAATGTTATCAACTATGACTTTTTAATCTTTATTTTTAATAGAAATTTTAAAATCATGCTATCTTAACTGTTATTTTAAATAATTTAATAAATTATTTTTAACGTTATCAATTATTTCTAAATGAATGCTATATTTTTTTAATAAGGCCTTTTTGGAACAGCTCTGGAAAATCGCTGTAGTATACACTGAAAACTCTTAAAAGTTTATCGATATGAAGGGAATTTGTAAAATCTCCTCCATATTCAGATCATAATGTCTTCTTTAGGCTTATTTTTTAAGGTAATAATATTACTGAAAGTCACAATTATAAAACTGGAATTGTAAGGACTGGTAGCTTTGATTATTCCCAGTTGCTGCCAAGCAAATCTTTTTGGATAGAAAAGTTTCTACCAAAGACTCTTTCCAATATCAGCATATGAAGAAGAAAAAGAAAGAAACTGGCTGCTACCAATCTCACAGTCTTTCTGATGAACAAAAGGTGAGGACATTCAGTATTTATCCAGGAGAGGTAATAGATTATTCATAAAGTCCTACTCTGAATATAGTTTGTAAAAGTTTTTAAATTTGTTGACGTTTTCTAAGCTACCAGCCAATTTTTCATAGCTTTTACTATTCTTCCTGGAGATGTAAAGATTTTATCAAAAATATGCACCAAAAGAAACAAAGAAATCTACATTGAACTTACAGGTTAAAGGAAGAAGTGGTATAAAATGTGTTAGTGGCTTCCACTTAGAAACCATTATAGAATACTGTCCCTATTCCTACGCCAATCCTTTCAAATCCTCATTTTAAGACAAACTGATTTGCAAATGATGTTCATATTACACTAGGAAATGTTTCATTTATATATAAATGGATACACATAAATGTTGTCACTTCTATAGGAGGAGAGAGAAACCCAGGAAAAGCTCACATTTCCTACCGTTACTGAGGTCAGTCATACTTTGCTATATCTGGGACGATGCTATAACATCCCAGAATTGGTCACTGAAATGAATCAAGGAAAATGGAACCATAGTTCTGCACTCCTCTGAGGTCCCTCTGTGTCCCTTCTTCATTGAAGAATGAAGATTCTGGACACACTGTTTTCCTGAAAGAAAATCATAATATGAAACTACAGATATAAGTTGAATCAACAGTGAAATATATTTTCAATTTAAAAACTTTTGACAAAATACTTTGTGATGACCCTATAGAAAATGAGATGGAACATATATAACTTCAAGTGTCCGAGACCTTGTTTTAAAGGAGCTGGTGCTCCTACTCTCGGGCCAAGTTGTTATTTATGAGGAGTGTCCATTTGCACAGCATGGTGAGTTTAGTAAATGAGGACCTGTACACTTCAAAACTGAGTACATTTCAAATATTCTCACCACAAAAAAACAAGTATTTGAGATGATGACTATGTTCACTAGCTTGATTTAACTACTCCATATTGTATTCATAAATTGTAACATCACTTTTTAACCCATAAATATGTACAACTATAATTTGTGAATTTACAATGAAGAAATAAAAATTTTAAAATGAGACTTTAGATGGTAATTTTAGCTTAAACAAAGTACCTCTGAAACAGACTTTCCCATAAATACAATGAAGGTACTAAGTAAAAATCCTAACTGCTGATAAAAGCAGACTCAGGGGTTCCTTCATTCACAGAACTGCCATTCAGCCAGTCTTCGCTGATGTGTTTTTATAGGGCCATTGCTTTTGTGTAGCATGTGCTTAGACTGGTTGGTTGACCCTTCAAAGATTGTCAAATATTTTTAATACATGCTTTACTTAAATAGATAGCACAATGGGATATTTACTATAGTTGCAAAACTTAAAACTGGTTAAATAAAATGGTCAATACTTCAACCTTTGTTTTCTTAACTCAAGCGATTTTCCTCTAAGTAGTGAGAGTCTATGGTCATTACATTGGCAACTTGGGTAAAAGTTTCTATAGGGATGAGGACTGGGTTCATTACTCAATTTAGACTTCTAAATTAGTTGTGACATTTATTTCAACTTATCATTTTTGCAGATCACTGTGAAGCACTGTGTGTGATCTTCGCTTGAAATATTCAGTCTAGGCGATCTATAGACTTCAAATAATTTTATGGGATGTGAAACACTTTCTAGGATTTCTGTTCAATTGTCTTCTGTAGAAAGAAGGCCAAAACTGTTGTATCAACTACATGCTAGCTGGGATCCTTCTAAATAACATAATTATGTTCTATACAATGAAGTATTTATGTGGTAAATACCGGATAAATCACTTGTTTTTTGATAAGTGCTATGATGGATACAAATAAATACTTTAGATTCTAACATAAATTATTATTTAAATTAGGCTACATTATTGTATTAAAAATAATGGGACATTTATACAAAAATTGTGTAATTGTACTTTTATTAAAATAAAAATGCACAGAGCATTCGGATAAGTTTCACTAAATGTCAGCTTAGAGAATGCTGAGCTGTTCAGTTTTATCCTAATAGGTTTTGGACTAGATAATGTCTGTGGGGTAATGCAATGAGAAACAATTTTAAAAACAAACTCTGCAATTCAAAATAAAATTAAGAAAGCATTTTGTAAATATGTTAGTAGAAAAAATCGTGGAAAAAGCATCATCATTGTAGTGAAAATAATGTAATTAACCTAGAAATACCCATCCTCTACTGACGTGAATAAATTGGACTTTTAGTATTACTATTAAATTTGGTTTTTGGAGGAGGAAAAAGTATTTTTTTTTCCCCTACAAAAGTAAATATCCTCTTTCGCCATCTGGTGGCTAAACACAACATTTTCTGTGTAGATGAAAAAACAGCAGATTTAATAGCCAACTGTGTTTAATGCTTTGATTCATCTTACTGAAAAGATATGCATATTTCTTTAACCTAGGTAAATATAACTGAGCCAATTTTATTTTAATGGCTCACAGCATTTCACTCAAATAACTCTAGCTATAATATTTCATGTAGGATTTTTAAAAATTAACCAAAGCAATTCTTTTAAGAGATCATTTTCTGAATTATTCATTTTGAAAGTTAAAAATACATGTGATAGTAACAATTTGTTTAACTGAATGCTTTTTGGTATAAAAAATGAAGACCTTAATGAAAACAGAAAGTTCAAATATAGTCTTAAATATAAGCATTAACAGCTACCATTCATTTCTGAAGTTTCAGTTTTAGCTCTTCCTGTTTTAAACATAGTTATAACTATATGTTGACAAGTCACCATTACCAAAAAGCAGCATGAGTAATTTAACAGTATACGGTTTAAGTTGTCCCTATACTTTTTTAAAATAGAATTTTCAATTGTTAGTACATTTAACATATATAAATTACTTCATTTTATTAAAAAATTAAAATGACAATTATTTCATGTTTAATTTCTTTATTTTCTCCAGAATATCTTAATATTGAAACCCAAGTTGTTACTTTGAGAAAGGGAAAGACAGAGAAACATGAAGAGACAAACACTTCATTTCATTTAACTTATGGTATTGTGAGCAGTCACTTTTGTAGGCAACACTTGTTTTCTTTGTAGAAAAGAAATAAAAAACAAACAGCACCATTAAAGAATGCATGATCCCTGAATTCTAAACAAAACACTGTCTAAAAATTTTTTTAAATGCTTGTTGCACTCAGTCACATTTAGTCAGGTATCAAAGCAAGCGTAACAGTATTAAATTGTTGCAGTCTTACTGAATCAACTGCTCCCCCTTCTGAGGATTTTACACACCTTTTCTGAGTTTTTCCTGTGGGAATAATATATTCTTTGGTAGAGGACTGAAGGAGGATTTTACTTTTCTGTACGCTGATATAAAATGTCTATGTAGGTTCAGGGCCTTCGCCCCCAATCTGTGTTTGTCATGCATGTTATGTTTGGGTTGATTTCACATTTTGCTGTTACACTGTAGGAGTAATACCGCCTTTTAAAAAGGCATTAAATGGCTAATGTCAAACAGATGTAAACATTCAGAATACTGACCAAAAAAAAAAAAAAAAAAAAGTACAAACGAACACACATTAAAAAAAAAAAAAAAAAACTACTGAAAATATGTACCATATCAGGTTTCCATGAAGTAGGGGACGGAGGGGAATACAGCAGTACAAGAAAATTATGGCAACCAAGTAAAGCACTTTCTTTGAAACATTCAAGAACAGTACAAATACAACAAAGTTTTTCTACAGTCTAAATTATTCTGCAACTATCAAATATAGTACAAAGCGAAATAGTATGTGCTATAAAAAAGCAGCTCCTTTAAATTATAGTAAAAATGCTTTTTGTTCGCTTTACAGTGACAAAGCATGAAGACTGAAGACGACAGGAATTTTATATTTAGTAACATTTTGGCTGCATAGGCCCCTGACAGTCTGATTCCGAGTTCCTGTTCTAGGACTCTTCACAATTGTACTCTGGGAACGGAGATGGACAGTGACTCTGGGCTCTGCGTGCTCAGAAGGGGTCATTCCCACTAGGCAGCTACTGCCGTGCTGGGCCTCACCACCATACAGACGATGCTACCCTAGGCTTGGCTTCAGCTTCTAAAACCTGGGACTTCATTATACCACGGAGGAACTGGGAAACCAGAGGCCACAGTAACTTCCACTTTTGAAATTGTGCGAGGGTTTGTAAATGAAATGGGGCTACAGCAATGTGTATTCTTACTCTCCACTGCATTATAAAGCACCATATGCACCAGCTTGTTTTTGTGTGTTTATTTTGAACCAAGTAAGAATATCCAAGGTCCAGCAGTCAACTAAACCTTCTATATAGCTCATCCCAGAAACACACACCACCCCAAAGTCTTTATAGCAACCAGGCTCAACCTCATAGGTTTGTTTTCAAGTTTTGCTTTCTTCAAACTAGACCTTCGCAGGGAAATATATAACTATGGTGCTCAGTTCACCAAAATTTCTGCTATTCTCACTTTGGGGAAGAAAAAATGTTTTCATTTTGAAAATGAATTTGCATCAGAATGCTCTTATTAACATGCCCATTAACTAACCTAAATGTCTTTATACACCTCAGGCATATGCATATCTTATAGGAGGAGGATTAGGGAATAGCAGTTTTCTTCCTTCCCCTGCTCCAAAAGTGCTACTTAGGGAAATACATCCTTTGTGAGTAAAAAAAAAAAATTGTATGGTACATGTGCAAGTTCTATTCCTGGTAAGAATAAAACTGTGTCCAGTAATCAGGATAATGCACGTGCTAACATTTGCACACGACACCACAATAACCATGTAGTAAATAACATACTCCATTTGCACATAGCAGACACATGTAGAAATCAGAAAACTAAGAACCTACTCAGTCAATTCAAATATACTGGCTTTTGTGTGTATATATATCTCAAATGGAAACCTATAAAATATCTGATCCACATTTTACATCTAAATTTCTCTTCTTCCTTTCCCTTATATTTTAGCTTAAAGATACTAATTTTTCAGTAATATAAACCATGTGAGAACACTAGGAATTTGAACTGGAGCAAAACAAAACAAAACAAAACAAAACAAAACAAAAAAGCAAGGGCACAGAAAAATTATGCTAATCGGACCTGGATGATAGAATCCATGCACTATCAACAACTGATTCTCCAAGCCTGTTATGTGAAAAATCAAACATACAGAAGGACACTTTTCCTTATTCCCAATAAGCAACTTGCAGGCAGTATTCAATAATGAAGGAACTGGTAATGAGCTCAGTACCTCATCAGCCTCAATTGTACCTCACATACCGAGTTCAAAGGTTCTGTAGACTGGAGTTTCTTCCAACACCATGTCAGTTACTGATGTGATGGGCTTCAATTTGCTGGTGTAGACAGTATCTGACACTGGTAAAGCAGTGATTGAGTTTGGAAGGAGTTGGCATGCAAGTGTCTATATTATAAGGGTGCCCCGCTGTGAGACTAAGAGCATGATCTTTGAAATCAGGATGATATCAGAGCCAGGCAGACAAAAGACACCACTGATAAGGATGCCACCCCAACACAACCTGGCGTGCAGTGAAGAGAAAACTAAGGATCCGCTGGAACTTATGCTGCATTCCTTGGGAAAGGCTGGTTAAGTGCATTGCTAACGTTCTCAGTCATTAGTTTTGCCAATTTTACTGTGAAAAACAGAAATGACAGTACTGAAGCACCAAAATCATGGCTACAGCAGCAGGCCTTTCTTTTCTTTCTAAGATAAAGTACCTCTCACTATCAGCAATTTGTTATTCGAAATGATGTCTCTATCACCTAAAGAAATTTGGCAACATCACAATAAATACGGAGAAAAAAACATATCATATAGTTTGTTATTATAAAAAATCACAAGTGTTCTTGTTTTCAGGAATGTAATTTCTGCTCATTCCAGTCAACTTTTAAGACGTGTTTTACGGGAATGTCAAAAAGTTTACAGTGACTAGGATGATCCCATGTGAAAATATCGGTCATTCTTACCCTGGATACAGATGATTCCCCACCCCCCCACGTTTGTTTTTCAAATTCTACAGCCACAATCAATCAATGGGTTAATGGCACTCCACATTTTGTGCTCTGTAATCTGAAGTTAAATGGGCGTGGTTGGTTTTTGTTTTCTTTCATCTTTCCTCAATGTGCATGTGCTTCTGAACTTGCTTTTGAAAACAGAGCCTCCTGAACTACGGCTGTCCTCTGGTTTGAGGGTGGCCAAAGTATATGGAATGTAGCTCAAATACTCAACACGCAGATTTTACTGGATGCACACAGAAGATAACTGTTAAGATGCAGTATCCCTTTTTCAAAAGCAGTTCCCCTAAATATGAAGAATGTATTGAAGATATACCTGAGGGAAAAACAAAACATGCCATACCTAGAACAGTTTTTTTTTTTTTTTTTTGAAATAAGGGTTGAATTATATAGGTTGTAAATAATGAGAAAAATAATTGTTCTGAAAAATGTTGATGCTTTAGCCTTGGGTAGTCCCTCTTATCATCAATGACACTTTTAAAAGGAGAGGGCCAACCTCTGCAAGGTCTGAAGCCAGAATGCACGGGTGTCATCAATAAAGGGCTACAATGATTTCCACCCCCCCATTTTAATATCTAGTAATTGATTACCATGAATAGGATATTTACATTATCAACACATTTATGTGTTCATATACAGCATTTTATTTCCTTGCTTTGAATTTTAGGGCCTTTTTTTTTTTTTTTTTTTTTCCCAAACCTACTCTTAAAAGCCATACATGAAGCTCTAAAATCCTCTGGGCTTATGGCTATTGGCTGACCAATTGATTTCATATGATCAGGTGTCAAAGGGCTAGAACCAGATTGCTGGGCATGAGTCCCATGCTGCAATTTCAGATGTAGGACACATTTCATTACAATATGTGTACAAAATCCAAGGAAGATCCAGATATTCTGCCATAGTCTTTGAGAAAGAGTAAAACAGGAGGAAAGGTAACACTCAGGATAGTGGATTTCATCAATGGCATACCTCCTTTCATATATCTTTTGTGATAGGAGTAAATACAAGGAATCACACATTTAAATCAGACTCCCCTTTCTAAATAGGATTTAATCACTGTGGTAAAGCTAGGTCCAGAAAAGTCAACTGTAAAATTCCTTGCTGTAATGGCTCATCTATAGAAAAATGCATAACCACTTTAAATCATTCCTCTCATTCTCTTTATATATCTGCATTTCTGGTTATTAAGTAATTAAAAATTTCCTTTTCCTATCTACACCGGGGTTAAAAGAAAAACAAAAATGGGGCATTGACTTGTATACACATGGACAGAAAGAAACTTTCCAAAGCTAGGAATGGCAGCTGAACATGTAAAAGACATGCCAGTGAGCCATTCAGTTGGGAATGCATCCTCCCCTTTATGAGAAATGCAAGAAAATAATGCCATAGAGAAAAGGTACCTGCTTCAAAGCAAAATAAATTAGCATGATAGAAACCACTGCATTATTCGATGTGTTGCTGCTGATGCTATTTGGCTTTTCCGTGTGGAAAAGGGATACTGCATCTTTCACTCATCTCTTATCGTACAACCAGGCATGCTACACAGAGTTTTGAAGGACCTATGCAGTCGTCATGGCAGAAGGCCCCACAGCCTTTGCACACAATCATGGCTTTCAGCCGGCAAGAGCATTTCAGTTCCAATTCATCTGCATTGCTGCTGTCGGCAAAGTTCTGAACGGGCATCTGAGCGTTCTGACCAGGCAAGCCCGTGGCAGGATTGGAGCCACTTCCCAAAATCCCAATGGACTTTTCAATTGCAGATGCTGCCCTTTTGAAACTCGTGCTACCAAAGTGTATTGTTGGATAATTTCCACAGAGCTGCTGTTGTTGCTGCACCTGCATTTTCTGAGCAGCTAATTGGGTAAAAGGCTTTTGTGGCTCAGAAAGCAAATAGGAAGAGAAATCTGCATTTTTTAGTGCGAATGCTTTTAACTGTTCTTTCATTTCATTCTGGTCATAGGAAACTTGTTTCATGCCCAGTTCACAGCTGCTGCTTAAACCTTCCTCAAAAGAAAGAGGTTCCGATTTTATATTGCTACATATGCCCGTGGACTGTGGCCAACTAAGTCTCTTAGTGGTTTCCATGGTAACTGGAGGTTGTTTTGGATCGGATGGGACTTCTGCATTAGGGAGAGGTGGAGGTAGTGGAGGTGGTGGGGGGGGAGGCGGGGGCAAAGCCAAGGGTGGAGGGGGAGGGGGAGGTGGAGGCGGTGGCGGCGGCGGATGTACTAGCGCTTTGTTTGGCATTGCATGTGCAGTGCCTCCCACCTCATCACCTTCTTTCATGGGCATATTGGGGGATAACATGTTGGCTAACCTTAGCTGGTGAGGTGCTGAGGAAAGACTAACCTCTCCCAATCCCTTCTGTTCAAGATGCCTGTTGAAGGCAAATGCATTACACCCCACTGGGGTCTTGGAAGAGGCCTGTAATAGAGCTGCAGTAGGAATGGGGCCCCTGGCAGCCATAGGCATTTGGTAAAACTGCTGTCTGTGTGAGGTACCAGCGTCAGGGTGGAAGCCGCCATTCTTGTCAACATGAAATAGGTTCTGCTGGAAGCTACACGAGGGGAGCAGTCTCTTTTGCTGTTTGACCTCAGGGCTGTGAACAATTCTGTTCTGCATGGAGTGCTTGTTTAGCCATTCTTGCTTAAATGTCTGGCTGTGTCCCAGCTGACTCATGCCAGAATTGATGACACAAGGCACCCCTTTAACATCTGGCTCCACCAACAATTTTCCTGGTTCACATTTAACTTGAGTGTGTTCTACAGTCCTAGCTACTCTCTTTTTGGGGTGATTTTCTCGCTTTCTCATTTGGAGTGGTGCAAGAGTCCCTGCCAAGTAGCCCTTACCATCTGGATTTGGAGAGCTGGGCGGAATTTCAACGTTTCTCTCTGGCGCTGTTTTACCCACTGAGGTAGTTTGAAGAGGCAACGGAAGCCTGTTGATTTCAAGCTTGGCTCCCAATCTGGGTTGCGGCAACACTTTTTCCAAAGGCAGGTTGCCCTGTAGTAACTGCGTCACCAGCGGGTTGTTAGCCTCCACAGAGGACAGGCGACAGCTTGAGCTCCCTGCACCAGGGACTCTTTTCAGGGTGTCGGTAGCCAAGGAAATAGCCTCTTCCATGGGGCTCGAGGTGGAAGCTTTCACGTTCTGTGTTTGTTGTACACTAGAGGCTACCTCTGCAGCTGGAGGAGGCAGCTCAGGG